TGGTCTTCCAAAATCCAGCTTTGGAAGGGTGAGCTGGTGGGAATCATCATGGCCTTTCCCTTATGTCTAACCGGCAGAACCTTGCTCCTCCCTCTCAAAGAGTTTTAAGTGGTTTTCGTCCTCGACGGAGACGATTCGGGACAAGGCTCAGTTCCCTAAGGGTTATAGGTGGGCACCGTGTCGTGCTGGGCCACCGCGGGTCGTGTCTAGCCGTGCCTGTTAGTGGCTCATGCCAGGCCGTGCCGTGCCTTCCACTTCACGGGTCGTGCCGTGCTGGACCACCATTTGGCACACCTAGGGGTGTTTAGATCCGGGTACCCGGATATTTGGGTACCCGAAAATCCGGGTACCCGGATCTTCGGGTAGTTGATAAATCGGCCCGTGTCCCGTCTCGGATATTTCGGGTACCCGGTATTTGGGTACCCGAATTATCCAGGACGGGACACGGGTACCCGGATTCTATTTAGTTATTTTTTAAAAAAAGTTTATACCTAAAATCTGTTGTATATTTAATAAACATCCTACTGTATTTTTTGTAAAAAAAACCTGCTGTAATTTTATTAAGAAAAACTTGCTGTAATTTTTTATTAAACAACCTGTTGTAAACAATACAACTCCACTGCCTGTATAATGTATATCATCAGACTATCAAAGTATCAATATATCCTGCAAACTTGCAAAGTACCTACAATTTTTTAATATATGTCTAGAAGACACCAATGGACAATTGGACATCAGAACATGTCTGAAATCTAAATACATGTCCACTTCAGAATACACCGTGCATAAAGTCTCAAATCAAAGGATCTTTACTAATACATATTACAACAAGAGGGACACATGTTTAAATTTAAGTTAACAATTAACAATCTATGATACATAACATTCAATCACTTGTGAGATCCGATATTTCCATTGTTTCATCAACAACAATCGTTGGTTGCTCCAAATCCAAGTCTTTCATTCCTACAAAACACAAATAATGCAATAAAATAGTTACATATCACATATATTATATATAGTAAAGTAGTAAATAAAGTAATATATAAAGTTATAAAGTCACCTTCTTCTTCCATATTTTCTAATTCAAGCAAGCTTTCCTCTATATTAATAGGGACATTAGAACTACACATCCAATCTTGGCCACAAACAAGACCTTCTACCATATATTTTTGTGCTCAAAGAAGTGCGAAAGGAATCTAGAACACGTCCTCCCGTGCTAAAAGCGGACTTCGAAGCAACGGAAGAAACCGGAATAGCAAGAATATCACGAGTCATAGTCATAAGTATTGGATATGTTTTTCCTTGTGCACTCTACCATGCCAAAATATCAAAATCCTCATCACTAGGCTCTAGTTTATCCCCTAAATACTTTTCTTATTCGATCATTCCTTTGGAAGATGAATCATTCCCAATCTCCCTTACAAAACTATCCCTCAATCGAGATACATTGTTTGGACCCTTTTTTTGTTCTTTCCCACCCTTTTCACTTTGACAAGTAGAGGCAATATTTGTAGAAGATGACCCCACTTTTTGTGCATAACAATCATATAATGATTTTTATGTATCTTGAATACGTTGACACAAATTATAGGAATTGCTAACATCATAAGAATTACGCACAATATGCTCCGTATGCCTCAACTTATTCCTTGGATCAAGAATCAATGCAATAAACATCAAGATATTAATATTATGAACATTTGCCCAATACTTGTCAAATTTCAATTTCATTTGTTTTTCCATATTCCTAATATCATCATTCGGATCACTAGCATAGTCATAAATGGTGTACCCAATATCATAAATCTCTTCTACAAAAGTATTTCCCGTCACATAACGAGATCCTGACAATTTCAAAGTAGCATTATAAAAAATTTCAAGAAAAGGCAAGAAACTTTGAATTTTATTCCAATCCTCATCATTGGGAGCACCCTCCACCGGTTGCTTCATAAGCTCTTTAGTGTAAGGAGAGAACTTTGTTTTCATATTCTTAAAGGCTTTCCTAAACACTAAAGCAGTCTTAAGCATCAAATAGGTGGAATTCCATCTTGTTTCAATATCTAAATAAACAAGACCTTTACAAGTGATGTTCTCTTCTTCAACACAAGACTTGAACTTTTGAAGCCTAGAAGGAGAAGACCTCACATATTTCACGCCAGCTCGGACTTTTAAAACAGAAACATTCACATCTTTCAAGCAATCTTTAACAACCAAATTCAAAATATGTGCGGCACATCTCATATGCAAAAACTGAGAATTCAACACACACCCATCCCAAAGATTAAAGATTTTTTTCAAGTATTTTATAGCTAAATAATTTGAACTAGCATTGTCTACTGTTACAGTCATAACCCTCTTCAAATTCCATTCTAACAAACATTTTTCAACAGATTTACCAATAAGCTCCCCAGAATGACCGGCAACAGGACAAAAGTTAATGATTCTTTTATGCAATTTCCAATCATCATCAATGAAATGAGCAGTAAGACACATATATGACAAGTTTTGACCCCGAAGTCCATGTATATGTAGTAAGACATACTCTAGAAGACAAATTGTTGAAAAAATTCTTTAACTTTTTCCTTTGCTCAATAAAAAGACCATAACAATCCCTTGTAATGGTAGCACGCGAGGGAGGAACAAATTCAGGAATAGCAACTTTACAAAACTGACGAAAATCTTCACGTTCAACAAAAGCAAAAGGCAACTCATCTACAATTAACATCTTAGTAAGTGCTTTTCTAATCTCATCATGATTAAATCTCCACAATTTAGGAACATTAACAGTTTGAACACTCCCATCAGTATTAATCTTTGTCCTAGACTCAAAATCTAAGATAGTTTGAGATTTATCTTTGTAAAACAGAGATTTTTTACACCTATCAATGTGTTGATTCATGCCATTAGTTCCATTCTTTGGATCACAACCAATTATTGTCCCACAATAAAGACATTTAGCATGGTTTGGGTCAGTTTGTATTACTTTAAAATGTTCCCAAGCATTAGAGGTTTTTTTTCTTTTACCTCCTTTTTCATCTTTTTTCTTCCCTGCCCTTTTCTTCTTAGGCCATGTCTTTGGGGCCTTCTCCAAAACCTCTGCCTCATCAAAATCTTGTGCTTCAACTGGTTGACTTGAATTTGTCTCCATCAAGTCATCGGAATCATCCTCAAATGTTGACATTTTCTGGTTAAAAAAAGAAAACAGTATAATAAAGTATTAAGTAATCATATATTCATATGATATAAATTATTATAAAGCAAAAACAGAATAAAAATTTAATTGAACTGCCTATTCTTGGAATAACTTCAACCTTCTACCCTTCATCTCCGCTGCTTTATTTGAATCCTATAAACTTAATTTTATTACAATGATGATTTGGACATCAGTGACAAGTTTTATTTTCTCTTATGCGGTCATAGGCCAAGAAAAGAACTCATAATTTATCAACTCCAACCAAGAAATACCCTAGTGACTACAAGACCAGCAAAGAATTTAAATCTGCCCCACATGATTTTGGCAATACCCATAAGAGATTAAAACAAAACAGAACCCTAAAACAGGAAAAAAAAAAAAGAAAACATAATAAAAAAAATGACAATAGAATAAAAAAGAACATAATAAAAATCGAAAACAGATAAATTATATAAACAAATAAAAATCGAAAATAGAAGTGAAAAAAAAAAAATCAAACAAAAATAGTATACTATAATGAACAGAAATTACAATAAACTAACCTGAGGTGGTGAGAAGATTGAGTGAACCGATGAAAATGAGCAGGACCACGAAACGATTTAGAAGCAATTGATGTTAAAGAAAATAATTAGATTAAAATTAACTAAACTAAATACCATAAAAAAAATTCAAAAATACCAAAAAAATAGTACAAATTAAACTAACCTGATGAAGTTTGAGGATAGATCCACAAAGCTGCTTCAATGGAGGAACGAATTGGGATGACTAATGAGGCGCAAGAGAGAGAAGAAGAAGAAGAAGAAGAAGAAGAAGAAGAAGAAGAAGAAGAAGAAGAAGAAGAAGAAGAAGAAGAAGAAGAAGAAGAAGAAGAAGAAGAAGAAGAAGAAGAAGAAGAAGAAGAAGAAGAAGAAGTGTTTTCTGTTGGAGTGTTGGCTGCGATTTTTTGCAGTGAAACCCTAGATCTAACTATCTAAGAAAGTAAGTTGTATTGTCTTAGTGAGTTATTGGGCAAAACCGGGTAGTTCAGTAAGTTTGTTTTTTTTTTTTTTTTTTTTTTTTTTACCCGGTATTCGGGTACCCGAAGGTAGCATAGTTTGTCCCATGTCCCGGCCCACGAAAATGCTTTTTTGGCGGGACGGGTACCCGACCCATAAAAAACAGAAAAATTTATCAATTTCCCGTCAGGTTTTTTGCGGGTCGTCGGGTTATCGGGACGGGACAACCGGGTCGGGTTTTTTTTAACACCCCTAGGCACACCCCATCCCACGACACGGCACGGCCCACGTGCCTGGCGTGCCGTGCCGGGCAGCGAGCCGCCCCGAATTTATATATTTATTTATTTTTATTTTTTTTAATTGATATACTTCCTCCGTTTTTTATTTATTGCATCATAGGGGTTTTGGAGGCAAAATTTGGTAGTGGTAAAAAGTAAGAGAGGAAAACGTAAAAATACAAAATTGTCCATGTAGTGTAAAGATAAAATAAAAAGTAAGTGTGAAAAAGTAAGGGTATGTTGGGTATTTGCAGTGCGAACAGAGATATTTTGTCCTAAAATGGAAATGATGCAATATTTGTGGAACTTCCCTAAAAGGCAAGTGATGCAATATTAAAAAAAAACAGAGGAAGTATGTTTTTTTAACAACCTTTTAAAATGAGTATATTTAAATAATTTTATTAATTGATAAATAACTTATTTACAAGTGCGATAACACAAAATTTAATGAATAACTTATTTAATTTTATTATACGCCGGTACGATAAATCGATAATACATTAATTTATAATGATAAAAGTCGTATAATAATTTATGAATAACTTAACTTTATAACTTATTCTATTATACGGGGTTCAATAATACAAAAATTAGCTATAATTAATAGTCTGTAATGATCTAATTATTCTTCTTGTTCTTCTTCGTCTTCGTCTTCTTCTTCTTCTTGTTCAACTTCAACGGCCAATTGAATTGATTGAGAGCTAGTAGAACCCTACGTTCCTTCATCGTCGTCGTTTTGTGCATAAGTACGCTTTTGGCAGCGAATTTCGGCATCCAACCAATCCTTGAAACAAACACACATTTCAAGTGTTTCGGGTTTTAGTCTTGTTCTTATATCGTCTAAAATCCTTCCTGACGCATTAAAAGCTCTTTCGAAAGCAACAAAGGAGACTTGGATAGCAAAAACATCACGAGCCATTGTCGTCCATATTGGATGTTTCGTGCTTTGTGTTTTCCACCAATCAAGGATCTCGAGGTCGTACTTCTCTTCGTCATCCATGTCTTCCATGAAGTCGAAACTTAAGTACATTTGTAACTCCGAATAGACCAATTAAACATGATTATAAGCACAAAGATTATAAACAGTTGTGCAAGCAAACATGCATTGCTAAAAAAAAAATAAGCACAAAGATTATAAACAGAAGAAAAACAATGTGCCATACTATATAATAATTGTAAAAACAACATATATTTTTCACAATTAGACCAATCATCTAGTAAAGCAAATTGTGGAAATTTTTTATTATAAAAAATTGTTAATGGACCCTTGTACTCGATTACCCTACTCAGGAGTTCCACCTAGTTGCACAATCCGTTAGTATTTTAATAGCCTTTATTCTTTGTTGCCTGCAAAAAGCTTTCCATTCCTAAAATCTCATGTTGGAGCTGTTAATAGACATAATAACATTCCTAATTTTGTGATAAAATGGACCAATTGCTTGTGTTCCATCCTTCACACACAAGTTAAGAGCATGACAAATGCATCTAATATGAAGTGCATCTCCATCTAATATTACATTAGTCAATTGTAGTTTAACTAAATTTGGACAAAATGTCATAGAAGTTGCATTATCAAAAGTCATAACATGATTTTGGGCCTAAGATTATATGCATCGATAGTTTGCATTAAATGATGAACAATATTAAGACCGGTGTGGGGGTATTCAAACATTTTAAAATGGATAATGCGTTTTTGTAATAACCAATCAATATCCAACCAATGACAAGTGACATACAAATAGTGATATCCGTAACCACTATCCCATGCATCAGCAGTTAAAGAAACTCTACAAGTAAGATTACTTAATTCATCATATAACTTTAATTTGTACTTTAGAAAAGATTTCATGGTAGCCGAACGGACAGTTTTTCTAGAGATTTTTTTGTTTTGGGGTTGTAGTTCTCGGTTAATGTAATTGTTAAAGAGATCATTTTTCGGCAAAAAGAAAAGGTTGTTCGGCATGTACTAACATTCCCCCAATTTCATCTCTATCTCTCATAATTGTCCGTGAACCATGTGGATGGAATTAAGAAATTTTGGGTTGAGTTGGATCACTAGATGGACCACCACATTTTTTTATATGTCTACCAAAGTGTCCCGTCCCTCCCATGATTTCGGCCGAGTAAATTTTGTAACATGTCTTACACTTGGCTTTGGTTCCATCTCTACTTAATTGAAAATATCCCCAAACATTACTCTTTTGATTGATATTGACAAGTTCCTCTTCGGTACACCATTCTAATGTGTTTGGAATTTGGGTGGATTGTTCACTCGACCCGGCGGCATGTGTTTGGCTACCTTGACCAGTAGGATAAGAAAATTCATGTTGTGAGCCGAATAAATGGGGTGAAAATTGGTTTGGTTGAAATCTCGAACTAGACATAGTCCAGGGAGACATATTGTCAAATTGTTCGAATCCTCCCATGATTTGGGGATGGAAGAAGCGGGTGGAATTGTTCGGATTAGGAATGTTAGGGGGGCATTGAAGTGTTGGAATTTGGTGATTCCCTACTAGTACTAGTACATTTTGACTTGGCTTTCCTTGATGAGGAAGAATGGTTTGGGTTTGATGCCATGATTATTAATAATAACAATAATAATATCAACAATAATAATAATACAAAAAATAATAGCAATAATAAATAATAATAATACAAATAATAATAACAATAATAATAGTGACAAGAACAATAATAATAATAAATTAAAATAACGTTGAGTTAAATCTTACAACGATGCTTTGATTGCTTTCTGCTAATTAATTTCCCAAACTTATATTTTTTTTTTTTAATTTTTATAATTGAGAGAATTAGAGAATTAAAGATTATATGAGATTTTTTTTTTTTTTTTTGAGAAGTAAAGATTAAAAGAGAGTAGGAATTAGAGAAAAAGAGAATTAAAGAATAAGAGATTTGAAAATAGATGAGTTGATGAATTGTGGAAAAAAATGGAGGAAGAAATGAAGTATTTATAGGAATTAGGAAGCTGAAAGTAGGCGTTAATATAGCCGTTTATGATTGTTGGAAGAAAGTAGCCGTTTATGACCGTTGGGTCGTGTCTGGTGTCGCGTGCTATGCTCGCAGGCCAAATGACTGTGTCTGGGACCGTGCCATGCCGTGCTCGGGCCGATTTCCGAAAATTTTGTTCACGGCACGACCCACTGCTAGGCACCGTGTCGTGTCGTGCCTATGGCGGGTTCATGTCGGGCCGTGCCACCACCGTGTCGTGCTCGTGCTCGTGCCGCCCGCGGGCCGGTACGACCTATGCCCACCTCTACTCAGGGTGCACGCTCACCTCCCTTGAGCCTAACGTTCGTGAACATTTCGGCGAGTAGGCTCTTGCCACGCGGAGGTGGTGTTGCTGCTTTTGTAGCTTTGAGAGTTTTGGGTCTCGGAATTTTCAAAGAACTGAGGGTTCTTTTTCCTCTCCCGCTTAGTCCTCCAAGGGTCCTCCCATTTATCCCCAAGCTCCTTGAAGGATGGAGCTCGTCCACCTTCCTCTTGGTCGGTCCTCCTTCTCAGGTTTCTCGGCTAAAGAGGTGAGTGGTCACAGGATGGTGGAAAGTTGTCTCCTTGGGCCTTCATGAGTAGGGGTGTCCGTTCGATTTTCGGTTTGGATTTAGTCCAAATCCGATCCAATCCGAAATATAATTCGGTTTTCAATTTTCCAATCCGATCCGATCCGAATTTCTCTCTTGATCCAATCCGATCCAATCCGAATTAAAACGGTTATTTGGATCCAATCCGAAAATCCGAATTATAATACATTATTTTTTTAGCGCCTAATACAATTATAAAAATAAAGGTTTACTATAAATAAAAGTCTTCAAAATCATGATTAAAATACAGTTAAACGTTAAGTCATTAATTAATTAATACAAAGTCTCTCTAATTTATTTTATGTAGTATTATGTATTTGAGCTAAACTTCAAAATATACAAAATATACAAGCTTAATTTTACAATTCAGTTTTTGGTTTGGATTGGATCCAATTAGGGTCAATCCGATCCAATCCGAAAATCCGAATTTCCAAAAAATCTCAATCCGATCCGATCCGATTTAAAGTTCGGATCCGATCCGAATTGATAATTCGGTTTGGATTGGATTGGATTTCGGTTTTTATCCGAATTATGGACACCCCTATTCATGAGATCCATGAAGACCGCAACGACTCGTGCCACTTCTTCGTAGTGGGCCCCATTTGAGGGGTTGTTCTCGGCTGAGACTGTGAATGGAAACTTCGAGGAGGACACTCGACCGATATGAGCTGGTCGGCTGGCGAGTATGATGGTATGATGACCTCTCTAGTGCTGCCCTTTCCGAGGATGAGCGAGCTTTCGAAGAAGAAAAAGAAGAAGAAGGCTCCGGTGATGGTTGAACAAGTGGATTCCTCTTCACCTAAATTGGACCTTTCCTCGAAGAGGAAGGGTCGTTCTTTTTAGTACTCTTAGCACTCTTACCACTCTTAGTCATTTTTTGCTAAAATTGGTTGATTTTTGGCTTACTTTTAAATGTTCTTCCCACAGACGGCGCCAAATTGTTTCGGGTAAAAACAATAGGAACTTCGGAAGGTCTTTTTCTGAGGGCTAAAGACTAATCCCGGTCCAAGTGATGGTTGGGTCGAGGATTTCCTGCACAGCAAACACAAGTAAACTGGCCTCGGGGGTTGTGCCAATGAAGGCCCCTCCGATGCCGAAGGCAATACAATGTAGAGAGAGAAAGCTATGCAAGAGTATCAATTGCTTGAGCTTGAATTGAATGTATGTAGAGAGAGAGGATTGTAGGCTTTTATACCTTTGTTCAATGGATAAATGGACCTTAAATCAAGTGGGTTTGCCACGTTGACTAGGCCTTGACTGACTTTGCAATCATTTGGAGAGTTGAACCTTGCTTTGGGTTTTGCTATTAAATCATTTATGGACCGGCCCGATTGAAGTAAATTGGACCCAAACACAAAGTATAATTATATAGGGTAGAAGCATACCGTACCCCTTAGGAACCACTCGCCTTTACAGCCATACACTCAAATGATAAAACTTGGAACTCAAATCAAACCCTCAATCCTAAGCTTTTATACCGCTTTCCCTCTGAATGCAATGTTGTAAGTTTACTTTTTCTATTGAGATTACCAATATCAAAAAGAAAGAAAAAAAAAAGTAAAACAGCAAATGATAGCAAAGTTTTTCTTCATATATCAATACAAAACTTGCTGAAACTTCTACAGCACATTCATCTCAAATACCACTTCAACATGGGACAATCCTTAATGGAAAGCAAAAGGAAATAATAAATAAAATAAAATGCTCTGAAAGTCATACACAACCCCAACCCTACCAAAACACCCAGTATTAATGTATTATAGTAGCAAAGAATGTGGAAAGGTTAAGATACTTGTTTTTCCATTAGTTTCTGAGTATTGTTCTCGCAGGTTTCATTTGACATAATGGCATGTAGCCAAGAAAACCCTTGTCCATGGTTTGAATATACAGTTTTGGTAGTGACAACATAGACAGTCTTTGATTTAAATGTCATAAAGGATATCATAACAGTGGAAAGCTATTAGAATAGTTAGAGTAGACTATTAGAGATTTAAAGCTATTATTGAGAGACATGTAGAATCTTTCAAATTACTCTAAATAGGAAGTAGTTTTGGGACTTTGCTTGGTTAGCAAGTAAATTTTGAGTGCAACAGGAGATGTGACATTCAATGTGGGGTTGAGGGGTGACTTGGGGTTAGAACTTTTAAAGAGGCTCACGTTTTTTAAAAACAACGCATTAAACAGACGATATTGGTTTGGTCAATTGAAATCCTTTACAATATGGCCCAACCAAAAGTCCGAAACGGTATGACCTTAATTGTGCACCATGACCCTATCCATAAATATTTTATGTCCTTGTCTTGCGACTGGTAAAATCAACACACAAGACTTAGGCAGCTTAGTTCAGCACGCCCTCTCACATATGCTGCAATATTTTCAAATGTAATCAAGTATATTGATATATTAATTGTCAAGCAAGCAATAACCCATAACTGAATACGTTCCCCTAAACTGTAAAGTACAATAAATAACCTACATGGGTAGCAATTGACTCTAGAGATATTTTCTCCCAACACTATGCTACTTATCACATTCATATCTAATTCCATCCTATTACTGAATTTACCCCACACAAGCTTGTACCATTGTTTTTTCAACAACAAATTGGAGAGGAAAGATGGAAAAAAGAAATTATGGTACACACAAATCTAAATACTACTCCCACCTTCCCTTTTTATAGTGCATGTTTTCCTTTTTAGGCGCCCCAAAATGATGTTCCCATTTCATCTCTTACCATTTATAGATGCCGTGAAATGACCAAAATAACCTTATCTTTTTTTTGTCTTTATTACTTAAGTACCCAAACTACCCTCATTTCTTTCTCAAACTTTGTGCCCTCACCCATGTGCATGTACTTTATTCTTGTACACATAATTATTATTAGTGGTCAGTCAATTTTTTAGTACTTTTCTTTCTTTTTGATGTACTTTTTGTACTTTCTTCTCCATTTTCTTAATTTCCGTGTTTTTTTTTTTTTTACAAAAGAGCACTATAATAAGGGACAAAGGGAGTAGGATTAAAAAAAAAAACAGCAAAGTGGTATGAACTAGCATATCTAGAAATAATAATGGCCGAATTAATAGATGATGATGATAATTGTGATTGATAATCTGGAAATCAAAACAACATCAATCAGACAATTGATTGATAAGTGTTCAAGTGGCTTGTTTCATTTTTAAAAGCTAAAACTAAACTAAGATAATAACTTAATATTTTGGATGCTCTCTTCTTCCCCTACTCCCCTTAGATATAACTTTTCTAATTCTCTATTTCCTACACTACCCTTCCAGTAAGGCTAAAGTTCAAAACACAAACATTTCCTATAATTGCTTAAGCTCAATTTAGATTCAAAGGCTTCCTATTTGCTTTATACCACAAGGTCAATATTACAAAGAAATATCATTATAAATTTATTTTAAATGCTCCCTTGCATATATAAATCAAGAGTTCTACGAAACTTAATTAACTGCGGAGTACAATGTTTATCCTGTGATTTATTTAAAAACGCTTGATCAAGCTCTCAAACGGTAATTCTTATAAGACGTAACAGTTTTGTCAAACTTTCTAAACATCTACTACACGATACGAAGAAACAAGTAAATCAAAAAAGTAAGATCATTGAACTCAAGCCCGTAATATAAGAAGCCAAATAGATCATTTTTTAGTACATCATTAAGTTAATTGTTCAAAACAAAAGTAGAGCATGAAATCGAACTAATTAGACATGCAATACATTTAAGTTCAGTTCTTCATCCTAAAAACAAAGCGAGGTAAATCCATGAAAAATAATTTTTAATGAACATGACCTTACCTCAACACGGTAAAGGCATGGTCTTTCTAGAAGAAGCAAGAACCCACTCGATGCATTGGTAAGGCTGGCCACAATAACTTTTCCCGACATTCCTAATGATTGCAGCGTAGAATTTTGTCTCAACCCCACCCTCTGATGCTACCAGTAGAACATGGTAAAGGATAACATTCTTGGATATCGACTCCTCCCAAGCTCCTCCAACGACCCTCGCAAATCGAAGGCGTACTCGCTAGAATCACCATTAATTTTTTTATTATTAAAACTCAACTGTCCCAATCAATATATGACATAGAAACAAAGTAGAAGTCGAGCTAGTATGAAACAAGCACGCAAAAGTTTATGTATTTGCCAATTTACACAAAATCTTTACAAGATATTAGTCATCTTACGGGCTACACAATCTAAAGTCTAGCGAAATACTCCCTTGTCCCTAAATAGTTGCCCCAATTTCCTTTTTTGTCCGTCCCTTTAATTTTGCCTCATTCTATTTTTGGACATATGGGTCCACATTTCTACTCTCACAACTACCCCATTAATCCCACCACTTTTCTCTCTCATCACTTTTTTCCAACTAAAACTTAATAAAGTAACGTTACACTATGGGGCAAAATATAAGGGACGGAGGGAGTATCATAAATAACGCAAAAACAACTTACATATGACATGACCCCCATCACCATGAAGCACAAATGTGGCAAAATGAAACCCTAATTTTAACCTACAATTTAGCCCTTTAACTTTCAAGTGTAGTAAAATACTACGTTGCACGGGGAGGGCAGTGATTACATTAAATTGTTTCAAATTACTGATTTATTTTATTTATATCGTAAAATTCTTATTTATTTTGTTATATGTCTATATAATTGTCTTTTTTATAGCTAATTTAGTGAATTATTTTAGAATTTATATGTGCAAGATAGCAAGTAGTAAGATGTAATAAATAATTTGAACTGCAAGTTCAATGGAGTGTTTAACAATATATAAAGAGGCAATAGAGGCTTTGTTGCGCCTCATCGGGGCATACTAAAGAAAAATGAAAAAATATCTGATAAATGTTGGTGAAAAAAACAGATGTGCCTTAGAGTGTGCTTTGGTGCGCCTCATTAAATGCGCCTTGCCTAGAGCCTAAGAGCTTGTTTACTTCAGCTTATTTTCAATTCACTTCAGTTCCTAACCTAATTTCCTTCTCTCATAAACAATTCGTTTCAATTCAGTTTCATTAAAGTAAACAGACCCTAAAAGGCGCCTAATTCAAACTCTAGTGTTTAATCTCATAACCCCACCAAAAATACCACCTCACCTATACACACCACTTACTAATTTCATACCCCATCCCAATCCACTAGCAATAAGGGGTTTGTTTTTTAAACCTAAAAAAAACCCACTGCAAACCCTTCACAACTCCTTAGTGTGAGTTAATAGCTCGTTTGACAAATAGCTATACTCCTGTTTCTAGCCCACGCATTGAATCTAAGGTATTCATTTTTTTTAATTAATTTTTCTTTTTTCTATTTTTGAGCTTTTTTGTTAAGAATTGATAAGTTTTTTTTAATAAAAATTAACACTTATTTACGTTTGAATCTTTATAGAGATATTATAGTAATGATAGGTTTCGTGAGGATCCTTCTAGAGTTGCTCCCCATAGAGATGCCTAAAACTTTCATGAAAGACTGAAGTGTGTTCTTGAAATGAGGATGATCAAGATAAAGCCTACGAAGAGTATGCACAATTCTCACTCACGATGGGTCCATTTGAAGACCCAACTTTTCTTTATTTAAAGAGAAACTGTGCAGACCGTACCCTAAAAGTTGGTGGGCTAACTTTGGTGGCAACAATCCTTAGTGTTTATCCACAAAAACCTTTCAACCAATATAAGGATGAGAAGACCAAAATGTGGAATGTTCGTGGTGATGCTTTTGATTCAATGGGAAGAGCAACCGTTACACAATTACTTTCCCATTTTTCCATTAAATGTTGTAAACACAAACCCATTTTATTTACCCAAAACACTGAAACCTCTACTAAGTCAATTGTCAAACACATGAGTTATGTTCAATACTTCAGTTTAACTTATTTAAGCACTCTAATGCTTATTTTAAAAAATTCAGATTAAGAATAAAAAAACAACTACAATAAGTTCAAATAACATCAGATCGAAACAATTTAGATGTTGTCATTAGACGAACTAAACCTAGCTTCAAGATGTTATTCATCTTTCACAGTTTGATCACTCCCACGAACTAATTTTTCTCAAATCTACTCCATGAAAAATTGAAATGGCGAAAAACAAAAAGTGAGATGAAATAGCAAATCAACGTACTTACAACGTCCAATTTTACTCTTGCTCACCAAATCACTTTTCTTCTCACATCGTTCAAGCATCTAACCATGGTATAATTGTTTCATATAAAATGGCAAATTCCTCTAAATGCACCTACAAATATCTTGTTCTAGTGATCTTGTAATTAACCAAATGCTTTGTAGTTACTGTTCATAATGTCTATGGCAAATCTTCAGAACAGAAAAATTGGAACTTGACTTGAGGATAGTGGGGTGGGTGCTATTAATTAATCAATGCAGAATATAGAAGCTAAAGTAGGAAGATAGACAAAGAAGACCTGATTTCCAATATTATTCTGCTCCTGAACAGCAAATTTCGCAAGTATGGCAGCATCATCGTTGACAAGCCTAATAACCTTGCCACGAGTCAAAGAGTTCCGTTTGATGATGTCTTTGTTAAGACCCAACCGTTTGTCCATTATAGGACAATTCTTGAGATTGGCAAAGAGGAGGGCCTCACAGTCAGTTTTAGACACATCCTTGAGGTCCCTTCTCCTTTTAGCCTCCTTTTTATCTTTGCAATTCACCTTCATAAACGGGACTGCCACATATAACCAGATTAAGAAAAAAAAAAAAGGGTTTAATTTCAAAATCCAAAATCTGGATGGTGACGATTAAGTTTGTTTTAATTTATGAAAAAGAAAAGAAAGTATTTTGACCTGGTTTGGGAGCGTAAAAGTTGCAGATCTCATTCAAGGGGATGGAACATGAGGCTTGGACTTTGATGCGCGCACCATGAGCAAGTGGGTCACGAGCTTCGACCAACATATTGCTGTACAGGGGATGGGGCTCAGGCAGCACATGAGCCACCCTCCGTAATTCAAGGTTCCTGTGATTGTGCTGGTTGTACATATGAATTACGCGACGAGCCATACGAACTACATCAACATCCTCCGCATTCAACTCCTCAAGATTCAACTTCACATCATCCTTACCCCTTCTAACACCCCGGCTCAACCTCCTGAAATCGTTCAACAAACCCTTCAACACATGGAGATCATTGCTCATTATGCGATCAACCACTTTAGGAGGAAAAATTGGGTTGTTCGAATTATCAAATTCCATCTCTGAGTGAATTTTATCCCGCAGTGATTGACGTTTCTTCGCATCGATCATGTCTGGAGTCATCACCAAGGGAAGACGGACATACGAGTAGGGAATGGGTTGTTTGGCTGTGCTGAAATTTATTCTAGACGCTAGCAGCCGCTTCGTTGCTTTCCGACCCAAATTAAGCATTGTCGTTTCAGAGTGCCAAAAAAGCCCTAAGTGCCAAGAGCAAGAAATAATGTATAATTACAGTAAAACCCAGAAAGTGAAACGAAATTATCAGCAGCTCAGTAAGATGAGGCAATTACAAACCCTATCCAACAAGAAAACAAAAGATTCTAACTTTGGCTTTCCATGTATAATATCAAAGAATAAAAATCCTAGCTTTGGATTTCTACCGTGTAAATGTGAATAATTTAATAAGTTAATTTAAAAATCAACGCAATTAAAAATAAATCTAATCGAATGAAGTATAATAATAATTTGGCCTTTTGAATATAAAATAATAGAAATGCAGCACATAGAAAATTGGAGCAATTAAAAAATCCTAATGATGGAAAATAAAGGGGAAAAAAGCATTTACCTTTGAACAATGAGTGAAGATGGAGCCGTCAAATTTACTCAGCAGCGGCAAGAAGGCCAAGACAGAGATAAAACCAAAAGGGCAGAAAAGCAAAGCAGGAATTTTTCTACAATAGTTCTGATTTTAGTGGGTGAAATTGTGAAAAGTGGAGGGGGATCACAAGTATAAAGGAAGAAAGGAAGGTAGTGGATTAATAATCACAAGAGTTTTGTCACATGTGCCCCTAGGGTTTTTCAAATTCTAACGTGAGCCCTTCGATTTTTAAAAATTACTCATATGTTTCTTTAACATTTTTTTTTAAACCAGTCGTGGAGAGGTTAACACTAGTCGAAAATCGGATCAGAACCGGTTGGATCACCAAACCAAACTTCGAGATTTTCACTGAATTTTGTCATTTGTGTACTAAAATCATCCATGTAAAGGCTACACCACATATAAACCAATGATGTGGCATAATGTAATTGGTGTGTGTCTTGGGGCTCAAAAATATTATTTTAAAACATTTCATTCAAATTTTAAATCAAATTTCAAATCAAATTTTAAATCAGATTTCTATTTTCAATACACATTCAATGTACCCAAATTCTCAACCACCCAATTCTCTCTCCTCTCATTTTTTTGACTGAATTTTTTTTTGTTTGGTTTTCTCTCTTCTCTCTCTTCCAATGTTCTTGAATTCTATTTTCTTTTTCTTCGGATTTTTACTATTATTTCATTTTTTATATAATGTTTCACAAATTAATTTTTTTATCTATCTAATTAGTGAATATTTCTCCTCAAATTTTTTCGGATGAATGTTATGTGGTCTGATTTATTTCTCTATTCTCTCTCTTCTAATATTATTCATGTTCTTGAATTATTAATTTTTTTCTTCTGATTTTTTCTATAATCTTTTTTTTAATATAAAGTTTCACGAATCAAACATAAGATATCTATCTAATTAGGGAAAAATCCCCCTCTCATTTTTTTTTGAGTGAAATTTTTTGTGGTCCGTTTTTCTCTTTCCTCTAATGTTCATCATATTCTTCTATATAATCTGAAAAAATTAATTCTTCATCTTTTGCTTAAAAATATATTTGTTTTTTCAGAAATTGATATGAATTTACATGTTTTGTTGTACCTTTTTTTTAATTAGTTGTTCTTTATCCTTTTTGTTTTAGATTTGTTTTGTGATTTTTTTTTTTTGGTTTTTTTTCCAGATTATTCATATACCAGCTTCATTTTATTGATTTTCAGATAATTAAATTGGTTTGAAGACAAATTATGTTGTATATTCATTCCAATTATTTTCAATTGAAACGTATTATATTATGTGAATGGAAATATCGTTATTTCTAATGTTCTTCAGTTTTCCCAAATTTTAAACATCAAAGTATAAAAAATTTTCAAGTTAGACTATTGATTAGTAACAGAATATGGACACTGAATTATTCACAATGGCAATACAATTAACTCCTTAAATTATCTCGGTGACAAATTAATTAGAAATTTATATTCAGTTTTAGAACCAAACATCACACTTTTCAATCCATGAAACATTTGGAGTCAATTAAATGATTATTAAAATTATGATTAAAACAAAGGATAAAAATGGGCTAAGTCTTAAAAATAAAACGATTTGTAACAATTGTAAGTTTGTAATTTATTTAGTAACAACAGTTATTTAAATAGTATTCAATAACTATATAGCATTAAAAACAGTTATTTAAATAGTATTCAAAACCTATATAATAGTTTGTATATAATGGCGGCGTATATACTATAAAATATAAAGTATCATTATGTTAACATGGTGAATATCCAACTATTTTTGTTGTTGATATGTTTTGAAACTTTTACTTATTTTTAATTTTTAAATCATAAGTTTCGAATATTTTCTTACAAGAAGTAAACAAAGTTTTGAAAATTTTAAATTCTATTATTAATATGTTTTAAAAATTTTACTTATTTTTCATTTTTAAATTTTTTGACAAAATAATATATATATTAGTAACCGATAACTATTATATGTATTCCAATTCTGTTTATTTTAACTCTCCACCATTTTATTTTAACCCTTCACTATTTTGTTTTAGCCCATCAACTTAGGTGTTATCACTTGTATTGGGTGTTTCAAGCAAACATTAAATATTTTGATAATTATTACTTAATTTGTAAATGATTATTTTTGCATAATGTCACTTTTTGGTATAGTAATGGATCTAGTGTTAGTATTTGTATATTATAATATTAATAATTGCTATTGTTTCTGGGTTTTTTGATGTCCTGCGGGAAAGTTACAATTCCGGGTCTGGTATCCTTGCGCCTGTACCTGCAAAACAACCGAGACTCCGGGTGGAGGGAGCTCCGCCTCCGACGATCAAGTTAGTACTTGTTTGAGGAGTAAATAAGTGCGGAAAAATAAAGGTGGGAGATCTGGTTCCTCAAGGAGAGGAGTAATCAGTGTGTTTAGGCTTCTTTAGGCGAGAGTAATTATTTTTCAATCCTCCTTTTACTGAGGATCAATGAATGTATTTATAGTCTTGGGAAGCGTGCCCAATCCTAGGTTTAGGTCAACCTAGAGCTGATTGGGCTTTTCCCGGAAACTGGGTCTAGGTGGCCATTTTCCTAGGTGGCAAACAGCAGGCCACTTGGCATGGCATGATTGGTCCATGCTGGACAAATGGATGTGTGCCACGTGGTAGGCCCTGAGAGGTCCAAATGGAGGACACTTGGAATGGAGGACACTTGGCAGGACCTGATTGGTCCACGTGGCGTACACTAATTGGGCGGGGAAAACCCCCTAATCATTTTCCCCTCACAGGTGGCACGTGACTGGCCACATGTCACCTGTGACAGGTGTCGGCCTGTAACAGGCGACGGCCTGTTACAGGTGTCGTCCTGCGATTGGCCGAGAGCTTTTTCCCGCTCATTTTTTGAATTTGGAAGTGACCCTTCGTATTCTCCTTTTACCCTATATAAGGACATGTTGACCAAGTCTTTCGTTCACATTTTGCGAACTTTGCAAGAGAACTCTCGGACCCCTGAACTTGAGCTCTGATTTTCCGGACGACTGTTTTACCAACCGCCTGCTTTTACTAGACGCCTGTTCGACCAAGCTTCTCGTCAGAACTTAAGTTTCAGGTAACCGTTTGTTTCTTTATCCTGTTTTTTTTTTTTTTTTTGAAAATGAGACCCCAAAAGCATCCGGCACGGCCTAGGTTAGCAATCAGCCGGTCACCGGGGACGGTTGAGTTTAGGACTAGGGGTGCCGACTGCCCTGCGGTACATCAATCTTTGCGCAAGTCCCGGAATCCAACTGTCTTTGTATCTATGCAGGATAGTATGACAAGAACCAAAAGAACAAAGAGGATTGAAAACTCTTATGGCTCTTCATTCCGGGTCCAAGTTAGTGAGCTATCGAACCGGACGCCTGATACCGCCAATACCTATGGTGACTCTGTCACAGAGGGCTGTGAGGAGGGGCTTAAGGTGGCTCATTCCCATTTTTCTGTTGACTTGGCTGGTCAACATTCGACTCCTTCTGAAGAAGAGGGGTCGGCCCCCTCAGGGAGAGGGGAATCGGACTCTTCTGATAGTGAGTCCTAGTCCAGCTCTTCAAGCCGTCTTTCTCCAAGTTCGGAAGAAAGGCATTCTCGCCTTCATGAGGCAAGACTATCTCATTCAGTCGAAAAAGGGGTCGACTGGTCAGAACCATCCAGCTCCCATAGGGAATTAAACACCCCTTATTACTCTCACGTCCCAATAGGTCGAATCAAGGCCATGAAGGAGCGAATAGGGGCCTTTCTAACGGACCATGCGATGGGTCCGGACTTTAATTTATTTGTGTCAGATCCTGAAGATGCAGTTGTCTGGCCCGCGGGGTCTAGTTACGGAGATGCTTGCTTTGGCTGCTATGAGGCGGCCATTAAGGCTGGACTCCGCTTTCCCTTGCATCCGGCTGTTCAACAAATCCTCGATGGGTACGAGGTGGGGCTCTGGCAGTTAGCCCCTAATTCCTGGTTCAACATCCTTGGCTATGTAGCCAGGTGTGAAATGCATGGGGTGGAGCCGAATTTTGAGGCGTTCACCCTTATGAATTATCTAAGCCGGACCCCCAAAGCAAGCGGTATCGGCTGGTACCAAATAACAAGCCACAAGGGCTATTTGATGACTAGGGGAAAGGAAAATAAATGGAAGATTGGAGAAACACGTTCTTCCTCATCTCCAGTCCCGATAAACTTCTGAACAAACGGTATAATAGGTGGAATAGGGATCCGCCTCTTCTTGCAGACGGCCCTAGCATGCCGCCTGTTCCCCGCCAGGTAAGGGAAGAGATCCTTGACCGAGGACTCTTCAAAGTAGAGATTAGGGCCAACTCTACTACTGGGTTACGAGAGCAGGTACCTTTGAACTGCGTTCCCAAGGCCGCTTATGGCCTGAGCAGTCGGACCTCCAGAGGTAGCCGACCTTTTATGCCTGTATATGCATCATTTGATCAATTTTTGAAGTTTTACTAACTCTTTGTTGCCCTTTTTTCAGTCGAAGCTATGGACCACATCTCTGCATCAAAGAAGGCGGCCGCTCTTCTTCGTTCTTCTATCATGAGCCTCAAGCGGCCATCTTCTGATTCTCCTGCCAAGGAGACGCCCAAGGTCAGCTCTGGTCTTTCAAATTTTTTCTCTGGAATCCTCTTTTTGCCAGTATTTAACTTTCTATACCTTTGCAGACGAGCTCGTCCAAACCCACTTCCTCCCAACAGCCGGACTCAAAGGTTCGGAAGGCGACAGCTGGGAGTACGCCTGGCTCCGCCAGGAAGCAGTCAGCTAAAAAACAGTCGCACACCCCACAAAGTGGGAGTAAACAAACTCAAGTCCCAAAGGACAGCCGGCCTCCAAGAGGTATAACCAACCCTCTCGAACCTTGTCCCATTCTTCTTTGATATTCCTTCTTCTTGGTTCTGACTTACTATTTTTTAATACAAGCGGCCACCAAGAACCAGACTTGGTCCAAATGGCCAAGTCTATGGTTAAAGCCATCCCTCTAGAGGAGAGGGATGCGGTCAAGGGAATCGGCACCCTTGACCTTGACGGGATCATGGGTCTCCTCTCCGAGGTATACCTAGCATTTTTGTAATGTTGAATGTCTTTTCCTGCCGCCTGTTTTTGCAAAATTGACGCCTGGTGCT